ACAAACACTTTTTAGCCACTTACTTTTGATATGATTTCGATATTTGTATATGTATTTGTCAGTTTGCACCCCAGCAATTCTACCAAGGTGATGGGTTTTCCATTTTGAATGCCTTGGAAGTTTTTTCTTTAGCGTTGATTTTAATTCAACATTCGAATTTCAGTCGTACCCATGTACATTTCAATTCTGTGTGATCTGTCAAAAAGACGTGCACTCCTCGAAACTTCCGTGCCATATCCGTCAGTGCCATGTAGCCAAACCAATGTTCCAATGTCCAGCATGTGATTTCACCTCAACATATTCCAAGAACAACGTCAAAAGTCATATGGTCTCACTTCACGGGCTAGCGGTAATATTCTTTCCGCAGAGTTGCGCTGTGTTCGGCGGTTCTGATGACCGTAGATGGTATTCAGAACAATTGAAGTCCTGCTTTTTCAGGGTGATCCTATCAGCTACATGGACAAGTACGCTGCACAAGTCGATGAGTTCATGAAGATGTGTTTCCCGAACGGTAAGCGTCCTTATCGGTCAAGTCAGATTCGCGCACGGGAGAGGTCGTTCTCTCTTTAAACATTATCCGCTTAGGGGTAAAACTTGAGTTAGACTTGATTTCGGAGTGCTTTTCCTTGGCGAATCGTAATTCGGCAAACGAACTCTGTTCCAATCAGCTCCAGGTTCATTGGTGATCAGTAAAGAGTGCTTGTGAGGAAATGGTTTTTGAAAGAAAATTCCAAGGTAACAGAGATTGTGGTCCAACAAATTCGACTACCAAACTTTCAGTGGCATCCTCTACGATAATGGGAAAGTAATATTTGGGTCCAGCAATAAAGTGCTTTCTCTGCCACCAGTAAAGTTATCAAGCATATGAGTGAGGCTATCTGCGAAGTCCTAGTTCCTAGTCGTCATTTCTGAGAACGGGTGATACAGGGCGCTGGCAGGATAGACAGCCTTTCATGGCATTCTTGAGATCTCCCCGTAGAACGATGGGGCCCCATGTCTGCCATATGAAGAAACTCTGTCGTGTCGAGAAAGCCTGGATAAGGTGCAAAGGCAAACAACAGTATTTAACGAAACAAAAGAACAACAACAGACCAACAACAACAATAAAACAAAATGGCGATAGTATAGGGAAAACATGAAAGTCTAAAAAATTGGATGCATGTGGTCCCAACTCAGAGCGATATTGTCGGACAATTTTTGGCATTTTCTACAACCTTCTATTTTGACTACCCTCGAGAAGCCTTATGTTTTTCGAAATGCATTGGTTTCCACGCTTTCTTCGCCACCGTTGCACTGTTCTGCACCGTAGATGAATATTTAACTACTTGGAGTTATCGTGATGCGAAAAAACAAGGGACAGAAATCGAGTTGCATAGTAAGAAGTCTTGTGAAACAGAACCAAAGGTATAGATCTACCGGACGTTCCGGGGATGGGACTAGGAAAGAATTCACTCGCATTCGAACATCCTGAGTATGTCTTCAGAGTAAATGTGAATTGAAGTTGTCCTACGAATTGTCCGATTGAGGGTTGAAGGTGAGCCCGGGAATCACAAGTACGGGCTGGAGTCCCGGCGGAGGGTTTGCCCTTCGCTGCTGACCTTGTGAAACTTTCCGGTCGCGTACTGTGGCGAGTGGCTGCTTTCATAGTCCGCCGGCCGGCGTGCCGGCGTACGAGCCGAGGCAGTGCTAGGGGGGAGGGGGGAGGCAGACAGTCGGCCAGCCCCATCGAAGGGTTGTAAACACCGAGAGACAAGATCAAAGACCATTTGTTCAAGCCCTTGGTTGTTTGGTCTTTGATCTTGCTTCTCGGTGCTTACAGCCCTTCGA